GTGCCCTAGATCAGTCTTCTTTGAAACCTCCCTTCGAATATTTGGTCCATGATGATCTGCGGTCCTGATGGTCCATGCTGGTAGCATGGTGGGGTTTCTCTTTATATCTGGGTACAATAATGCTTTGAAAGGCAGACAAAATATGTACTAAATGCTTTCCTAATGTGCTTTTCCATGTAAGCTATTGCTTAGAAGTGGCTCAAGAGAATAACTCAGGGAGAAATGGTGTGTGTGAACATGAGCAGGGACGGAGGCAATAATCACCGTGAGCCTTGAAGCAGGAAAATAGGAGTAAGATTTTTTCAGAAAGCAGAGATGTCGTGTTCTAGGTTCCTTCAGAAAGGGAAACATTTCAGGAAAATAAAATTAATGATGTGCTAACTGAATAAATGCATAGAATAGCTCCTTTGGCTATGCTAAGTAAGAATTCACTAATTATTTGCACCAGTTCAGCTACTGGGATACCTCAGTATGAAGTCAGCTTTGCTTGACTTGGGGGGGTGGACGAGACAGGATTAAAAATGGTTCAAAATCAGCCACAGTCTTGGTATCTTCTGAAGCCTTACTAGAAAACAATGACAATGCTAACTGCCAAAAAGCTGGCACCTCCCGGCTCCTGGCAAAATTAGTTTTTAATTTTCTTAATTAGTTTTAACAAACAGAGCCAAGACCTGGGTAGAATTAAAAACCCCCATGAAGCTGTTTTAAGAAGAAAACTCTGAAGGAGGGGAGCTCTTCAAAGAGGTTTGCTGACAGAACAGAAATGTTTTAAGGACCAAAACAGTTGAGGTCTGCCTCTCATATGAGTTAGTAGGGGGGTTTGGTAGGATAGTTCTAGAAACTTTTGCTTATATGTTCTGTACCTACTATTAAACCACACACCAACTATGCTGATGCTAACCCTTACGCAGCAGAGGAGTAAGTGTGCACAGGTAAATCACAGATTTCAAATCTGCAGCAATTAAAACAGAGTCCCCCACTGAGATGCAGGATACCTGCTCAGCAAGGGAAGCATTACGTTTTCTCTTTATGACTCCCCCACCTCAAGCAGAATGAAGTATCTCACCCTGCCTCCCTTCGTCCTGACATATAGACTCCATCAACAGTCTACAGGATCAATCTTTAGTTGTAATTTTTCCCAGAATAAACCTGCATCCAAGTTTGCAAGTATTTGTCCCACATATTCACAGGTAAAGAACTTTCATTATAATTAAACATTAAGGTTTTCTGTCACACAGTTGCAAAAATGTTTCAGAATGCCAAACTTGACCTGTGCGTGTCCAGACACTAAGATTTTGCTTCAACCCAAAAATTTATTGACTTACATGAAAATATTCCATCTTAACATAGTACACATTGGTAACATTTGAATACATATTTACAGATTTATTTGAACTTTTCTGAACTGCAATTCTACAACCGAGCAACATATCCATAAGTGTTTCATAAACTTTCAAACACTTACATATTTATACATATAGTTTTTGCATATATATATATAAAAAAATATTTTTGAGACTCAAGGACTGAGAATAGTCAGAAGGACATTATTGCTACATTTCCATATTTACAAAAACAATGCATAAACCCATTCAAAACACCAAGCCATTGCAAAATAAGATTCAAAAATCCCCAAACTATAAAAATATAAATTTCAAGAACAAAAAACCCAAACCTCTTTCAGCTAAGTGTCTGTAAAGTACCGAGACATCTATAATTATAACAACTAGCTTGTCTACAGTAGCTCTCAAAGCCAACACGTTACAAAAGAGCTTTTATAGCATTAAACTGAAAATGCTCAACAACGAGTATGCGTAAGAGTGCCTCCAAACAACTGGCTAACTTTGGAAAGGTGCAACAGCCTAAGTATGTTCAGTGCAAATGGCTAATTTTTTACTTACTTAACTCTGAAAGACAGCTTCCTGTAACAATAAACCAAGTGCACAGTCATTGAAGGAGTGTGGCATTCAACATAACCCAAAATATACTACAAGTGTGTGTATTTACAATTACCTTGCATTTAGGCAGTTAGTTACAGATTTAAATTGCATGTAAACTCAACCAAAATCCTGGTAAAGTATAAATTACAGAGTGCTTAAGTGCATTGTAAATAAATAGATACTCAACTAGGACTCTGTTTCTGATAAATGCTTCTTTCAATGCCTTTACTAATTTCTAGGGGACAGAAACAAAAGAAGAAAGTAACTAGCCCCATCCTAGGCTGAACTGATACTGACCCAAAGCATCATGTCTGCCAAAAAAGGCTGAAGGGATACTTTCTTTTATCCCTTCACAGTTAGGCTCTTCTTTGTTATCATCTCTGGACTACAATAGAAAGATGAAACAACTCAGCATGGGGGGAAATAGTCCTTTCCAGTTAGCACTATCCAAGCCTGCCTGTGGAAAAGATTCACCTGGGTAGGACAAGATAAAGAAAGGGCCCCCAGGAAAGACATTTTTGCCTCTGCTCGTGCTTAGATAAGATGACTCGTTAAACGGCCTCTCCTCCAGACACGCAGTTTACTGGAAGCAGCCCTCCTCCTCTATTTTGACCAACTTGGCAGGGTCCACCTATCTTTGGTGAACACTTTTGGACATAAATATTAGCAAAACAAGCATCCAAGCCCTTGGGCTCCCAAGGCAGGGAGGTGTGGGAGCGGGTCAGGCTCCGTGGGGGGTGACACCCTGTGATGGGCAGCTCTGTCCACCCCTGGTGGGGAATGGGCCAGTGGGAAGTAGCGCATATATCCACAGAAACCTTGAGATCAGTCTGCAAGGCTGACAGTGCAGGTGAAGATCCACGCTCTTCTCCTCTCCTCTGGTTCAAACCCCACAGCTCCCAGGAGGGTTTGCTGCTGTGCAGACCAACTTTAGAAGAGTCTTGGTCCCTTCTCCTCTCTTGCCCAGACATATATACAGCACCCTTGCTGCCTCCAATCAATGATACTTGCCTGGGAAAGCTTCTCAGGCTTGGCTGGATGTGGAAAGGGGTTTGCAAAGCTATTAGCTTAATATTAGTTTATTTCTTAAATCTGCAAAACAAGATTAACTAGAAAATAACTGTAGGCCTTCCAGGCGCAGATCAAGAGAAGGATCATTGCAGATTTGGTTTGATCTGCTGTCATCTTGTTCCACACCCTGGCTCAGGATTTCTTTTGTTGGTTGGTTTTTTTTTCCTTCAGATCTGGCTCTCTACTGCAAATACACACAATATAGCAAAATATATACAGCTTCAGTTAACATTGCAATGATGCGTGTAACCGTGCCCAGCAGATTAAGTTTATGTGTAACAGTGTGTGGTAAAGGACAGTATTACAACAACGTTTCAGCTACACAGTGGTAGTAGTGAGTAAAAGTAAGAGAAATTATTGAAGTTGTCCCTCTCTCACCCCCTGCGCAATACAGCTAATACATCTGGGCTCCTCTTCTTCCAGATGCCACTCAAATATCTTCGCGTACCAGGAGAGGCTGAGTAGATGAAGCACTACTACCCACCGAGTTAATCCTCACTGAGTGATCTGGAGCATTTTCTTGACTGGAAGGTGGAGTTGAGAAGTTTGCATAAACCTGCAGACACCAAAGACCAGTGTCAATACTCTTCATGCATATTTGGAGAGTGCTCCTTTGCTAGCCTTTTCTCACTGTGTACTACACACTGCTGTGGAAAGGTTCCAGCTCAGGTGTTTCTTTGTTAAATCTAAAGAGATTTTCAAAAGGTCTTGGGCTTAACTGCTCTTTTAAAGAATCAAGAACCTCAATCTCAGTTATTAACAACACCACAGCTTCTAACTGCATGTCAAATTTCAACTGAGCTTGAAAAATGCAGCTCAGGTTATTACTAAACTCCCTAAGAAACCTCACTAATACTTCCTTCACGTTCTTGTTTTTGTTTTAGTAATGCCTGCACCTGCCAAAAATATGCTACAGGATGCAATCGAACACCAGCAGCTTTCAGTTTCCTATTTTCTCAAATTGTCAGGAAGCCATGTATTCTGCGCCCAAACAAGCCATCCAGAAGGTAAAAAGGAGCTTTATTTTTAAACCAGGTTTTAAAACTACTTTTTTAAACCCCAAAAGCACACAATGTTATTGAGAGAAAAAAATCCAAGTTTCTCATGTGCCTCCAATTTTTCTTTGGACTGTTTTGTCCAGTTACACTCCCACAAAAAGCTTTTACTAGGGAACGGTGGAAAAGCAGTGAATACGGTTTGTCATGACATATCTCCAAGGTTATAAAAACCGAGCTAGGGGAAGCAAGTGAGAAGAGGCAGAGAAGCATGGAAAGCTCAACCTCTTAGTCAACAAAGATTTCTAAAAATAAAAATAAAAATTATAAATATACTTTATTTCTGAGATGTTTCCCAGATCAATAACATTTTTCATAGTTTAAGACGAATTTACACAGTAAATCAAAACTGTTGCGCCAGGTCTATTTTGAGTGAGAAACATCAACCATACAAACAGTCTACACCAGCTGGTACATTTTAGGTACGGGCTTAGACAGCTACTGTCTAGCGGCACAATTAAGCAGCAGTGAGTAGCCTAGATATCATTCCTACCACCCAAACTAACAGTGCAAAGCTACTTAAATAACGCTGGAAAATTAATGAAGCACCTGGTCTTTTTGCTCCTCACAGCTCTAGTGTAAAGTCTTGCTTGAAACTGCTTTGACTTCTGAAATCTGATGATAATCTGATAACTTACCCGGGGGGCATTATCTGAAAGCTGCTGCTCTATCAGCTGTACGATTTGTTTGAATGTGGGTCTCCGTAAAGGATCAGCATCCCAGCAACTCTTCATTATGTCATACCTACAAAGGTAACGGAATTAAGTACCTCTCATGAGGAAGTCCTTAGAGTTCTTATCTCATTTCCATCATTATTTCAAAGAAAAGCATGACCCACTCTCACCTTCTTTAAATGACTTTTAAGAACAGAAATAGTGCTGGTAACACCTGAGCTTGTGACAACAAAGGACTCAATAGTCACTGGAGCCTCTGGACAGAGCTTTCTTTGACAGTTTGCTAAGTGCCAGCCATTTACAAAACAGGAGATTAAGGATGGCTCATAAAGAAGATCAGTAGCCAGTCCTCTCACTGTCAGGAAGTACAATGCAAATGCAGATGCTGTACAGTCTGGTAATACATCTTTATCACTACTTTATCTGAACTAAGAATGTTTAATTATGTTCTGTGATCCGTCAATAATTCATTGATATGGAGCAGATGCCACGACAAAGTGATCAGATGGCACAAGGCATGAGTGTATTTCATTGCTTGTAACAACACAGGCATGTATTCTGCTAGTTAGAGTACATGAATTATTTAAAACATGAAAAGAACTTTAAAAAAAAAAAGACAATGAGGCAGTGCAATGAGCCTTAAAGCAAGAATTGAAGCTTCCCTTCCTTTGTGCCACTGCTTATGTTTGGTGATTAGGGGTGCTGGTTTCTCGCTTACATTTCAGGTGGTGCACACTCAGGGCTGAACATCCTGTATCCCTCCTTGATCATTTTATAGAACTTGGAGTCCACGGGCATCCCTGGATATGGGCTGCTTCCTGTTGAGAGAGCACATGAGCAACACAATTTCCGCATCTGCAGTAAACCCAAGATGAAACAGAAATCCCCTGAAGTGCAGATCTTGAAGGAGCTTACCTAAAGAAAAGAGCTCCCAAAGCAATATCCCGTAAGACCAGACATCACTCTCAAAGGTGTAGACACAATTGAAAATACTTTCAGGTGCCATCCACTTCACAGGAAGACGGGCCTTTCCAGGGAAAGACAACAGACATAAGGAATATAAAATTTACAATATAAAATCAAGCTTTTCTACTTCTTCTGTGCTTTAAATGCTCATTAAATCAAGAAATCCAACCAACCTCAAGTATCCAACCAGAAATTGAAATCTCAGCTTTTTAGAGTGTCTAAGTGCTGCATGGTTATTGATCCGTCTTTCTCTGGATCTACCAAACTCATGCAGTTCCTTGCACTCTGATTTTCTGTATACTGTGTGATTCCTCCTGTCTTGTTTATAAAAGATGGCAGGAAGCCAGAGCAAAATAATATACACGACCATAGCATGGTTCCTTACGCAAACATGGAAGTTACTTCCAGGGACTGGTTACCATAGGCACACAGATAAGATTAACATAGTCAAGATGCTCCAAGGCTTTAATGAACAGTTAAGACACCTGTTTTAGATCCTCAGTGTATCAGAAAACCACAAGAAATAAATATATATCGACATATATTTTGGGTGGGAGTGTTGATCTGCTTGAGGGAA